TGTAATTCATGATAAATCTTATTCATATACTATTATATATATATATAAAACTAAGGTTTGATTATCAAGCTCGACTTTATATTTTATTATTCAGTATTATTAAAACAAACGAAGTAAAAAGAGAAAAAGAAAACGAATGAAATCGATTCGTTGATGAGTCAATAAAATGATTCTATGTAAAGAAAAATTCAAACATGTGAAAATACAATTCGGTTAGTATAAAATAATTGATCATTAAAATAAAATACAAATTTTTTATTAAACAAATAGTTTAATGACGAATGGAAGTATTATTATATGTTGATAATAATTTCGTGAGTTCATCTTGATTGGAAAGTTGACTTTTGAATTTGGTCATAAGTGTTATTAATTCTTTTATAATAACATCTTTTTCTTGTAATGCTTTAGCTTTTTCTTCAATTTTAATTAACATATCAGAACAATTACCACAATGTGTTGACTATAATTTAAAATAGAAGAAAATATAATTATAAACATATTCAATCATACTATTGTCTGATATTTTGAGTAACTGCAGATAAATATATCTAGATTAGCTACTGATTACATTGTAATATTCGTACTAGTATTTGACTATAGTACAGTCATATCCACGATTATTCAAACTTTGAACGAAAATAAAAATGTCAAAAGCTCAGCTAAATTAATATTCGTATAATAAATCACTGAAAATATTTGTCATCTTTACGTCGTTGGTTTTTCCCGATAGGTATTAACTCGTTGATTACATACTACTTTATCCGATCAAGAGTTTGTTTGACTTGAATAAATTTAGAAATGGATAGACAGTCATAATCATTTTTGTCACTAGGTAAATAATTGCTATTTGTATCAGTATGAACAAATACATTACAACCATTAACCATACATACTCAGTAGTGTCTATCAGGCGATTTTTTCTTGCACCTATATATGTATTGATTCATAACTAAAAGTGGTTGTCTTGTATCCGAGATACTTAAGTGTAACTCATTGTTAATAACGAGCCACGACAGAGTGTTGTCTAACATCACTATGGTTCTCTTAGACCTATAATAGATTTACAAAAGATAAGTCGATATACACTGCGCAGTAATGATATCGTTATCTATCATTTTGCAAACTAGTCCTACTCTCTTATATGTTACTTTTTCGAGATTTTTTCTTTCGATCAAGGTTTGAATTACCACACCACTCGATATAGAACTCATATAGTCATAGATTTTAAGCATTGCATGTAAGTTATATCGGACTGAAGATACACATAAATCTTAGGGTATTTGAATAATTAAGCATGAAAATGTATATGTAGAAAAAACGAGATGATTCTTACTCCTTTCTTATTTTGATATTGAAGTAATTTATGACGTAATGCTTCATATTCATCATGTGTTCGTTTAAGTTGTTTTGTTAATTCATCAATTTGTTGTTGTCGTTCCCTATTTTTAATTTAAATATCGATTATAAATATACATTTATATAATTTTCTAACCAGGAATTATCTTTTAATGATTCACTTATTTGTTTTTTAAGAAAAGATATTTTATCATCACGAGCTTTAAGTTCTTTTTGATGATTATCTCTCATTTGTTCCATTAGTCTTTCATACTAAAAAAATAAATAAATAAATAAATTCTAAAAATAAATCTTTAAAATCGAACATATTCTTTTAAGGCATTTAATTCAGCTGATGAATCTGCAGCAGATTTTTGTAGATTTTGAAGGCGATTAATTTCTTCATGTAAACGTTCATTTTCAGTTGTTAGACGATTATTTCCCAAACGAAAATCTTCAAGTTGTTTTTGATAATTCAACTCCTATAGAAAATATTCAATTAAAATAAAAAGAATAAAAAGAAATTTACACGTTTTTTCAGATCATCATTTTCTTTCGTTAAATCTGTAATACGTTTATCTTTTGTTTTCATTTGTTTCTGTAATTCAACTATATCTTTTTCTAATTCTTCAATACGTCGTTTTAACCGACGGATTTCATCTTCAAGGCTGACAATTTTTGCTTTCATTGCTGCTGATTCATCACCTTTCATCGTCGTTGTTGCTGGTTTCGTTGTATTTGTTGGAACAGGTTTACGTGGTACTGATACATTTACTGGTCGTCGTATAACAGGTTTTTGTGCTTCTTCTGATGAACGACGTCGTTCAACAGATCTAGATAATTCTTTTGGTGGTGGTACACGCATTAAATTTCCTTGAACTTCAAGATTTGTTGGTGATGCCGACATTTCTTTATCTGTAAAAATATAAAAATTCATGCAAATTAAATTTTATAAGCAGAAGGTTATTTAATAAAATATTCTTTTCATTCGTCAATAGAATTAGAATTAATTACAATCTAAAATGATGTGTTAATATGTATGTGAACATTGAGCTGTAGTTAAAACTTTCACTTTTTTTTTTAGTTACATAAAAGAGAAAAAACAATAATCATAACCATGAGAAAAATCTGTTGCGACATCTAGAAACTATTCTTACAAAGACTTTTCTATGGTTACATTAATTGTTAATGGCAAATGATTTTAATCAAATGTAATAAAAAAACGAAAGAAAATTAAATATCAATTAATATGACTAAATTTATAACTCGTCCACAGTGATTTACACCAAAAGAATGGAAACTTGCATCAAAAGTTAAACATAAAACTACGGAACAAGATTGAGCTAGAATCGAGCGACTTATACTTGAATGTGATCGACTTGATCAAGAAGCACGTGGCACTGTTGATCGAACTTTAGCTGATGTTAACAAAAAACTTGGTAAGTATTGATAATACAAAATAAAAATAATATTTTCAGTTCAATAGTGCTAATAAAGATTTCAATGAAATGTAAATAATTATTTAGTTTAATCCGTGTCTATATTTTGTTTCCGAAATTGTTTTATAATTCCAAATTACAAGTTACAACAGGAGCTTTAAAAAAAAAGAAGAAGCATTAAAAACTCATTAGAATTACTTCAGTTTTTCCCAGCTAATCGGAAAGAACCAATTTTCTATCAAAAGAAACGGAAACGGAAATTATCAAATAGCATGCAAAAGAAAGTGGAATTAAAAACTATAAATTTTTTCTATAAACTTGGATGAAAATTTATCTATCCAAAGAACTTAATCTTATAAATACAATAT